TTAGCACTGCAGCCTCACAGCGCCAGAGACCCGGGTTCGATTCCACCCTCGGGTGACTGTCTGTGTGGAGTTTGCACAATCTCCCTGTGTCTGTGTGGGTTTTCTCCGGGTGCTCCAGTTTCCTCCCACAAGCCAAAAACGTACAGGTTAGGTGGATTGGCTATGCTAAATTGCCCATAGTATCCAAGGATGTGTAGGTTGGGTGGTTTAACTGTGGGAAATGCAGGGTTTACAGGGACAGGATAAGGGAATGGGTCTTGGTGGGATGCTGTGTGGAGGGCTGAGGTGGACTTGATGGGCCAAATGGCTTGCACTCATGCTGTAGGAGTTCTATGATTCCACATTCCACCTGCTCCTGAGGTGTGTAACATGGTCTCTGATCAGGTTGATATAGAAAATATCAAAAAGGACTGATAATGTCATCTGAATGAGTGCAAACCTTTGAAGACAAGTGCAATGCATACATGCAAAAATAGAACACAGGAACAAAAAGCCTTCCCTGGAACAAAATAAAATTTCAAGGTTCAAAAATGTACAGATGGTGTAAAGCATACAGAGAGAAGATGCCATTCACTGTACCTATCTATTCTTTACTGGATTATTTACAACCCACTCTGTCACAGACTCAAACGAAATCATTTGAGGCAAGTTTCCTGCTCCCTTATGCCAAGTGTACTAAGGGGAAAATATGCCCTTGACACCCTTACGCTTTCCCAACCAATTTAATCTCCCTTTTCTGTCCATGTACAGTCAATCAGAGGAGTGGGATTAATTGGATAGCCCCAGAGAAAGCTGAGGCCAGCATATCTCTGCCCTAATATGTACTCTTCCCACTCAGTAACTACAGGGAGATCCTCCAGTGGCCCATATGTAATTAGCAACACCCCAAAATACTCAGTCACTTTTTGTTACTCAACTCTGATCTTTTCACCAGGATTGGCAGCATGACCTAGCAGCTGCATCCCAGAATCCACAGCAATCAACGTGGTTCAAGATTTAATGCAAACAGTGTGATTGGACATTCATCTACTGCAGGATCAAATCATCCCTTTGAGTCACTGCTTGGTTTGCCAATGCATTCTATCATTCAGCTTATTATTCAAATGATTAGTTGCATGTTACTTAATGAGATTCCTAATGAATGAGTATGTGTGAGCAAGCGTGTGTCTATACAGCACCTTCGCTTTTTAAAATTAATGCACAAAAGAATCATTAGCTTTATGAGGCAATGCCATGCATAATTAAGCCGATATCCATCTGATTTGTGATTTCATAGAATTATAGAATCATGGAGTAGCACTAAGCAGAAGGAAGTCATTCAGCCCAACAGCTCTTTCTATAAATAATCCAGTTAGTGCGTTCTTCTCACTTTTGCTTATATTTCCTGTAATTTCTCTCCTGGTAATTATGCAATTCCCTTTTGAAATTGACGATGGAATCTCAATACTTCAACCCAATAGGGAATGCAGCCCGAATTCCAACCCAAGCCCTGTGTCAAGATGCTTCATTCTGACACGTCACCTCTGTTTCTTTCATCTTTTACCTTAAATCCCTGCCCTTCAGTCACTGCAGCATTTTCTCCTTGGTTTACTCTCTCCAATACATTCATGAGATTAATCCTCACGATTGAATCTCTTTGTTGCCTTCTCTCCTCCCAGTTTCTCTGCTCCATTCAAATGAACCTCATCCCTGGAACATTCTACCAAATCTTTTCTATACTCTAGAAATATTGAAACATAAACATATGGGAGCAGGAGTAGGCCTGTGCACCATTTATTATGGTCACGGCTAGTCATCAAACTCAATAGTCTGTTTCTACTTTCTCCACATATCCTTTGATCCCTTTAGCACCAACGGGTGCATGCAACTCATTCTTGAAAGCAAACAATGTTTTGGCCTTGACTGCTTTCTGTGGTGACGAATTCCACAGATTCTGGATGAAGACCTTTCTCCTCATCTCAGTCCTTAATGTTTTATCCTGTACCCTGTGACTCCTAGTTCTGGATTCCTCTGCCATCAGGAACATTCTTCCTGCATCTGCCCTGTTAGAATTTTATAGGTTTCTATGACATATCCCCTCATTCTTCTAAACTCAAATGAATAAAGTCCTAACTAACCATAATCTCTCTTCAAGCATCAGTCCTGCCATCCCAGGAATCAGACTGGTGAAACTTCATTGTATTCCTGCCACAGCCAGAACACCTTTCCTCAGATAAGGATTCATGGCACAAACCCATGGCTCTGAGGAGAGGTCATCTTTGAATCAAAGAACAGTTGATCAATTCTTTGAATGTTATAATCTTTTATTCTCTTCTCCTCCTGTGTTTAATTCCATACGTATCCTATAGTTGCCCCTGTCCTGCCCGAACCACAATAATAGCCTTGCTTTCCTAATAGCAGTTGTTACTGTTTGCACACTTTCTGGCAGATGAAGATATCATCGATAGATTAAGGTTGTCAAGAGAAGCATCTGCTCAGATCCATCTATCAGTTCTAAGTTAATCGCTCTTCAACTATCTGATGCATAAAGCAGCACATCAGTATTTTGATGTTTTGTGTGTCTTGTCAACAGTTCAAATGTATCATATTGACTGCTCTGCCTGAAGATTTCCTTCAGATAGCTCTTGATTCCTATAACTGACTGGGCGAGGGAGAACATGAGTGTGGAGAAGAATTTTCCATAAGGAATTTTCGAGAGCATCTCTTTTCCTGCTGGCTTTTTCTTGGTTGTCCTTAGTCACCTCTCTCAGGATATTTGTACCAGCTATAAGTGTACAAATTATTGAAGGCTGAGAGAATGGTTTAAAGGAGTCATAGTATTCTGGGCTTTATAAACAGGCTCATCAATTCTAAAAACAAGGAAACTTATAATTTTTTTAACAGATCATTAGCTAGACCTCAAATGGAGTATTGTGTACAATTTCGGCCACAACACTTTAGAAAGAATGTGAGGTTCCCAGAGACATGTACAGAAGGTTCATGAGAATGCTTCCAGAGATCAGGAATGCAGCTAGATTGGAGAAGCTGACGTTGTTCATGTTAGAGAAGGATGAGAAGAGATTTGATAGAGTTGTTCAAAATCATGAAGCTTTTAGTTTATTCATTAGATGTGTGCATCATTGGCAAAATCTAAGTCTAAAGATATGATGGTGGGCCATTTAGGACTGAGATGAAGAGAAATTTCTTCACTCAGTGAGTGGTGAGCTTCTGGAATTTTCTGACACAGGGAGTGGGGAAGGCTAAAACATCGAACGCTTCCAGGAAGGAGTGACATGTAGTTCTTAAGGCTAAAGGGATGAAAGGGTATGGGGCAGAAAGTGGGAACAGGGGACTGAGTTGGATGATCAGCTATGATTGTACTGAATGATGGAGCAGACCTAAAGGGCAGAATGACCTATTCTGTGCCCTATTTTCTATGTTTCTATTGTCTGTCCCTAATTGTCCTTGAGAAAGTGGATGGTGAAGGGAGAAATTATTTCTCTTGCTGGAAGCCTCAACAACTAGAGCTGATTTAAGTTGATTGTCCAAAGTTGTAACAACAGCATGTGGAAAAATGTTTTCACTCATCAACTGGTTAGGATCTGGAATATGAAGAAGGCAGGCTCAAGCATTGGCTGTCAGAAGGGAATCGGATAAGCACTTAAAGAAAGAAAGACGTGCAGGGTGTTGGAAAAGGCCTGGAGAGTGGGAGCATTGAATTTATCTAACAAGGATGGGCTATAAGGTCTTCTTCTGCATTCTGACTGTTCTTTGATTCTAGGAGGTTGTGGGCCTTGGGGGGACATGATTTGCCTCGACAGTCCATCTGTCACTGGGCAGATCAACTGGTGATTGTCTCTTCCTGAGTCCACTACATCCATCTGAAACCTCCACTGCTCTGAGCCGTACCACCAGCATTGCTTGCTTGATGAGTTCATCCCCCCTTCTCCCCCAGGATCTTCTAGCCATTTTACTTCATAATCCAGAGCAATCAGAAAATCTCCGAATGATACACAAACTCAAGATGCAGGCTATGCCTATGCTGCTCAGTTTTGGAACTTGTGGCGGCTTGTGCTGTGTGCAAAATGCCTAGAAGACAAAAGTGGACACCCTACAGAGTAACCCGACAGTATTCTGAGAAATATCTGAGAAAATGGATTGTCTACGTCAATGGTTATTATGAACATCATGGCTCAAATACGCAATGAATCTTTCAATTTAGCCGTAAGAAAGTTTCCCGATTCAGAGTCATGGAAAAGAAAATAAAGTCAGACACAGAATACCAATGACACTTCTTTGAAAGAGCTACACAATTAATCTAACTTACTTCCCACCCCATCCCCTACGTTTAAGAAATGATAGCATACACAAGTCATATACTGGACTAGCAATCCACAAACTTAGGTAAATGATCTGGGGATATAAGTTTAAATGTCAGCTTCTCAGCTGGGGTTCCTGGAGTCCGTTTTTATTCACATGTTTCTTATTTACCAGTAATAGTAACCAAGTAACTACTAGACCAAGTAACTATTTAAAACTGATGCAGTTATCTGTTCCAACCTAGACATAACTCCACGCCCACAGCAACGGTTTGTGCATGGTATCCTCAATTAATCAAAAAATAAAGCTCCTCATTGACCACTTCTGTAAGTGTCACTGGACACAAAACATGAACTCTATTTTCTCTCCACAGGTGCTGCCAGACCTTCTGAGTTTCTCCAGCAATTCCTGATTAGACACTTAACTGAAATGGCCACTTGGTTAAGGGAAATTAGGGAAGGGCAAGTTATGCCCTCCTCGCTAGCAACGTTTACATTTACACAGACACAAACAAGCAGGGAATGGAATGATATGGACCATGTGCAGGCAATTGGGATTAGTTTAGAATGGCATCATGGTCAACACAGACATGTTGGGCCAAAAGGCCTGCTCCTGTGCTGTAACATTCTATGATCTATGATTCCGTCACTGTTTAGGGAAATAAAGTACATCCACAAGCAAAACCTGAACAGTATTCTTACCCGGATGAAGGTTGGGAAGCCTTGTCCATAGTAACCGATTGCAAAGTAGTCGGGCTTGGGCCTCAGCACTTTCATGATTTTTTCATAGAACTTGGCTTGCCGTTGCTGCAGAATTAAAAACAAAGTAAGATTCAAGTGTGAGAAACAAACGACGCAGGACTGTTTCTGTAAAGATTCTGTGTTCCCCACTCGCTCTGTAATGCGTGTTGTCTGTATTTTCCGCTCTGCCTGGTGACATGGGATAGCCCTGCTCCAGAGCTGCTGGTCAAGCTCTCACTCTGAGCACAACAGGATGATATTTGTGGAGCTGGATGAACACAGCAGGCCAGGCAGCATCAGAGGAGCAGGAAAGCTGATGCTTCAGAAAGAAGGGTCAGCTTTCCTGCTCCTCTGATGCAGCCTGGCCTGCTGTGTTCCTCCAGCTCCGCACTGTGTTATCTCAGACTCCAGCATTGGCAGTTCTTACTATCTCAGGGTGATATTTGTACTTTGGTGAGTGAGACAATCTCTCCTCACCTAATGTACTCTCAAGCCCTCCTCTTGGCACTACACAATGGATAGCAATGATCATTTCTCTTCTTGACCATTCCTGCATTTACTATGCCAGCCATGGCTCCATGGCTCCAGCACTCTGGCTTCTGAGTCAGAAGGTTGTGAATTCAAGTCCCACTCCAGAAACTTGAACACCAAGCTCCAGGCTAACATCCTAGTGCAGTACAGAACTGAGGCAGCATACCCAGTCAGCGCCGATCTGCATTGATTGGAATGAGGTCAGCCAAGTGGACCTCATAGAATATGAGTTCCCTGTTTGGGGCTGTTAGCCTGATCTAATCAGGGAGCCCCGGCTGACAGATATAAACAGTAGTGTCAGGGGTTCAGCTCACCCTAGCGGCCAACTCTGAGCTAGCAGTGTCAGTGTCATGCACTCTGCTTGTGCAACTAAAGGGTGACTTGGTTACAGAATACCGACCTTCATGGAGTTATTTCAATATCCTTTGAATGAAACGTCAATGTGAGGCTCAGTCTCAGTCAACATCATAAAAAAGCGCATCATTACATTGCTGTTTGTGTGCAGTCTGTCTATTATATCATAGCAGTGACTCAACTGGGTAGCTCAGTTGGCTGGCTGGCTGGTTTGTGATACAGCATGATGCCAACAGCATAGGTTCAATTCCTGCACTGCCTTATGTTACCACAAATGTCTTCCCATCTCAACATTGTCCCTTGTCTGAGGTGCAGTGACTTTTCTCTCTCTAATGAGAATGGGACTACAGTGAAGTTACCTTCACCTTCAAAAAGTGTAAAGCACTTTGGAGCATTCTGTATCTGTGAAAGACACTACTTAAATGCAAGTGTATTTTATTGACCAGCACCTCAGGATGATGAGGGAAAAAACTAGCACCAGCAGGTGCTAAATATACCAACAGGAGACAGAGGACTTGGAAAGCTGGAGGAGGGAGGAAGGGGACATTTACTGGATCAAATATGAGGACCCTTTATTTAATTCTCGCATGAGACATGGGCATTGCTGGCTGGGCCAACATTTATTGCTTGGCCCTAGCTGCCCTCAAAAAGGCTGTGGTGAGCTGCCTTCTTGAACTGCTGCAGTCTACGTGGTTTAGGGAGACCCACAATGCTCTTAGGGAGGGAATTCCAGGTTTCAAATCCTGCAACAGTGAAGGAATGGCGATATATTTCCAAGTCAGGATGGAGAATGGCTTGAAGGGGAACCTGTAGGTGGTGGTGTTCCCATGTCTCTCCAGCCATTGTCCTTCTAGATGGAAGTGCTCGTGGGTTTGAAAGGTGCTTTCTAAGGATCTTCATTCTCAGAAAGTAGCAAAGGACATACCGAATGGTAATGGTATACAAAGGTTAAAGTAAACAAACGCACAGCAAGCTGGCTCTACATAATACTTTGTTTGGACACATGTAACAGAAGAAGGGGGGATTTTAATGGTCTGCTGTTTTTAATTAGATATTCTTGTTTTCTGTGACAGGAATGAGGCCATGTTATTTCAGCCACCTCATGAACCTTACACCTAGAAACGGCAGTTTGCTGGCAATAGCCACTGGAAAACTGGACACAGCATCTTCACATCACAGCATAACAGGTAGGGGCAGGGCTGGGGAGGCAGCCTTGAGTGGATATGGTTTGGTATTGACATGACCTAGGGACTTCTGCTGCCATGGTCCAATCTGTACCCTAGCTTGGATCAGTTTGGTTGCTGAGTGCTGGGTCAGTTGGTAAACCTTGACTGCTCTACTTTTCCAGTAACCTGGATACAAACAAGGTCAAGTAATTCCACATCTTTATTTGCACATTACTGTAGTCCAACTTAAAACCGTGTCTCTCTGGGTACAGCATCACTTTCCTCACTCAAGTTCACACTGTTCTTATTGTCAGGCGTACATCATCAGTTACATCTGAACATAGATACAAATTGGGAGAAGGGCAGCACAGTGGCTCATTGGTTAGTACTGTTGCCTCACAGTATCAGGGACCTGGGTACAATTCTACTTTCGAGTGACTGTCTGTATGGAGCATGTATATTCTCCCTGCGTCTGCGTTGTTTTCCTCCCACAGTCCGAAAGTGCGCACGTTAGGTGGATAGGCCATGCTAAATTGCCCGTAGTGTCCAGGGATGTGCAGGCTAGGTGGATTAGCCATGGAAATGCAGGGTTACAGGGACAGGGTAGGGGGAGCAAGTCTGGGTGGGATGTTCTTCAGAGGGTTGGTATGGACTTGACAGGCTGAATAGCCTGCTTCAACACTGTAAGGATTCTACGAAGATCATGACAGATCCGATTACTTCGTATTCCCATCTACCCCCAAAAATCATTCATCCTCTTACCTATTAAGAATTTATTTACTTTTGCCTTAAAAATTTCAAAGACTGCTTCCTTTGCCTTTTGAGGATGAGAATTCCAAACTCTTTGTGGCAGGAAAACAATTCTCGTCATCATTGTTCTCCTTATCTCTGAGACAAGTACATTAATCTCTTAATACACAGCATTTTTAAAACCTTCTTATGTGGACTTGGGGCACCTTTCCTGATGGTTCAGGGGACAATACTCTCATCTGTTCTGAGGAAGGGTCACCGGACTCGAAACGTTAATTCTGATTCTTTTTTTCTTCACAGATGCTGCCAGACCTGCTGAGCTTTTCCAGTAACTTCTGTTTTTGGCCCTGATTTACAGCATCTGCAGATCAATTTGCCAGAGCAATTGTTAAAAAAAAAACTCTGCCAAAACTTGCACCCAGTGTAAGAAAAATAATGGTGTTTCAGCCAAAAATCTATGGATTTGAGGCCGACTCTTCCAGAAGAGTAACATTTATTTGAATCTATAATGTATACTCTAGGCAGAAGCTGATAGATTTTAGGACATTAAATGAATCAATTAACTTTTTAAAAAATATCATTTGTTGGATTTATGCATGGCTAGCTTGGCCAGCATTCATCGCCCAAAGCACACTTCAGAGTCAATCACATTGCTGTGAACCTGGAACTGCATGTAAATCAGGTAAGGTAAGGATGGTAAATTTCCTTTCCTAAGGGCTGTTGTGAACCAGATGGATTTTCTTTCAACAAAAGCTGCAGAGTCACCATTAGGCTGAAGGTTTATTTATCAAATTCAAATATTATTATCCACCATGATGGGATTTGAATGACATGCCCAGAACACTAGCCTGGGCTACTGGATTACTAGTCCAGTGATCATTGAATTGCCGCTTTTCCTAAGTGAAAGCTGCTATAGTAGGACAGGACTGTAGGCTACTTGCTCATTGGACAGCTGGACAACTGGTTGGGAGTTTAACCTGAGGTTTCCCACAATTCAGGCAAGGTGAGGGAGGCTGAGAAAAGAGGGCCGACATGGGGACCTCAGCCAGTAACAGGGAACTGAATGCACACTGTGAGTATCACTCTGCATTGCTAACTAGCCATTCAGCCAACAGAGAACAGAGTACAAATGTGAGACAAACGTTCAAGTACAATTTAATTGAATTGCTTGAGGAACCATACATCCTGTTTCTTACATTCTTGTCATCTTTTCCCTTATGAATTTAGAGTAGGATGATCCAGTGAATGAGGGACTCAAGCCTTACAAATATGATCAATTTGCCAGTGCTTTCGAGCACCTAAGAATTAGAGACCAGAAGGCGTGTGTGGTCCAGGGGCTGGATACCCATCACTAGGCAAGTGGATAATGGCCACAGGCTACCACTGTCCCTCATGTAAGTTCATTGATCTCATTCAGTCTGGCAGCTGATGATCAAACAGCTCTGGGTGAGATATATATACTTTGTCCTGTTCATTGTAAATCGTAAGGATGTGACAGAAGATGAAGGCAATGACTTTCTCCAAGGTAAACATTCTTCATGTGTTTAATGGTTTAGGCCTGTAAATGAGGCATGACAATTTATTATCATTGGACAATGGAACACAGAATTGGAAAAGGCCATTTGGGCCATAACATCTGTGCTGTCTTTTTGAGCTATCAGATTTAATCCTACTCCCTAGATTGCCCACCATAACTCTGAAAATGAATCCTTTTCAAACATATCCAATTCCTTCTCAGAACCTGTCAAATCTTATTTCTTGACCCTTTTAGACTTTATATTTTAAACTTATTGTCAATTCAAATCTGAAATCTCTGGTTAGCAACTCATAAGAAACAACTTTCTCCTGTGCAGCATCTGAGGAAGGACATTTTGGCTATTGAGGGAGTGTAAAAAAGGTTTCCCAGACTGATTCCTGGGAACGCCAGACTGATGTATGGGGAGCGACTGGATTATTTAGGACTATATTCAGAAAAATTAAGAATGTCTGATAGAAATTTATAACATTCTAACAAAGTTAGACAGGGTAGATGCAGGAAGGATGTTCCTGATGCATGCGGAGTTTAGGGCCAAGGGGTCACAATCTAAGGGTAAGGGATAGGTCTTTTCAACAGAGGTGTGAATAAGAGCATGGAGAGCCTGTAGAACTCTCTGCCACAGGAAACTATTGAGGCTAAAACAATGGAGACCTTCAGGAAAGCTGTACATATCCTGGGACTAAAGAGATTAAATAAATGTGGGGAGAAAGCTGGAAAAGGTTAGATGATCAGTCGTGTATTCTGTTAAATGGTGGAGCAGGCTTGAAGGGCTACTACTATTCCATTGTTTCAATTTTCTCCCTTCTTGCTCTTGTCAAAACCCCTCACAATTTTGAATACCTTAGTGAGGACTCCCGTCAAGTTGCCTCAGCTCTAAGGACAATAATCCTAGTTTCATAATCTCTCCGCATCCCTGAAAACATCCTGGTAACTTTAAACTGGGCCATATTCAGGGCCTTTAATGTCCATCTTAAAGTGTGGCTCTCAGTATGTGCTCCAATTGGTGCTAAGCTCATAATGTTTGAGCATGGAGGAGACCAGAACCAGGGGACTATATGGAGTCAGACCTATACAGTATGGAAACAGACCATTCAGTCCAACTTGTCTGTCCCTATCAGATATCCTAAACTGAACTAATCCCATTTGTCAGCATTGGGCCCATATGCAACTAAACCCTTCCTATTCATACACCCATCCAGATGTCTTTTAAATGTTGTAACTGTACCAGCCTCCACCATATTGCCTGGCAGCTCGTTCCAAACACACACCACCCTCTGCATGAAAAAAATGCCCCTTAGGTCCCTTTTATATCTTTCCCCTCTCACTTTAAACCTATGTCCTCTAATTGTGGACTCCCTTACCCTTGGAAAAAGACTTCAGCTATCCACCTATCCATGCCCCTCATGATTTTATAAACCTCTATAAAGTCACCCCTCAGCCTCCGACAGTCCAGGGAAAATAGACCCAGCCTATTCAGCCTCTTCCTGCAGCTCAAACCCTCCAACCCTGGCAACATCCTTGTAAATCTTTTCTGAACCCTTTCAAGTTTCACAACATTCTTCTTATAGCAGGGAGACCAGAATTATATGCAGTATTCCAAAAGTGGCCTAACCAATGTGCAAATAGTCTCCATTTGACACTCATCTGGTTCACTAATGTCCTTGAGGAAAGGAAATCTGCCATCTTTACCTGGTCTGGCCTATGTGTGACTCCAGACCCACAGCAACGTGGTTGACTCTTAACCCTCTGGGCAATTACAGTAATAAATGCTGACACAGCCAGTGACACCCACACCCAATGAATGATTTTA